CATAACAATACATCACAAAACAATGCATCACACAACAATACATCACATAACAATACAGCGCGCAACAATACATCACATAACAAAACATCACACAACTATACATCAGATAGAAATCGCATTGATATGGCTGCATGAATGTCTCTAAGCCCTCCTGCGAAACGCATTGTAATGCTTGCAGGAATGTTGCATGAAACTATATGGGTCTTGTTGCGGAGGACGCCCGTGCGCGAAACACTTTGTTTTTCGCGTAAGGTGGCTGCAGCCGCCAATGAAGGGCAGCTCGTCTGTGAGGCGGTTGCGGCTGGGGTCCCGTTGACGTATGATTGGTGCCTACAGGGTGTTCTGCACTGTGCGGTTGTTCGTATGTGCGTAGGTATAGGGCGTTTTGGAACCTGTGGTTGCAGATCGTGGTGTAATGGCTGCATAATTGTTGTGATGGTTTGATGCCATATGCGGAAATGCACGCGGGGATGCCACGTAATACTGCAAAATGCATTGTAATGGCTGCATGACTTTTGCATGGAACTACATGGGGGCTTGTGTTGGGGCGGAAGCCCGAGCGCGAAACCTTGTGTTTTTCGGGTAAGGTGGCTGCAGCCGCTTAGGCGGTTGCGGCTGGGGTCCCTTTGGCGTGCGATTGGTTTCTACAGGGTGTTCTGCACTGTGCGGTTGTTCGTGCGTGCGTAGGTATAAGGCGGTTTGGAAACCTGTGATTACAGATCGCAATGTACTGGCTGCATGATTGTGTTTTCTTGCCATGTGCATAGATGCATGGGGGTATGTCACGTAATGCTGCAAAAGGCAATGTAATGGCGGCATAGCTGTTGCATGGGACTACATGGGAACTTGTGTTAAGGCGGAAGCCCGAGCGCGAAATACAGTGTTTTTCGGGTAAGGTGGTTACAGCCGCGGAGGTGGTTGCGGGGTCCCTTGGACGTGTGATTGGTGCCTACAGGGTGTTCTGTACTGTGCGGTTGTTCCTGTGTGCGTAGGTATAAGGTATTTTGGAGTTTGTAGTTGCAGATCGCGGTGCGATGGCTGTATAATTATTGTGATGTTTTGTTGCCATGTGCATAGATGCATGCGGATATACCACGTAGTGCTACAAAAGGCATTGTAATGGCTGCATGACTGTTACATGGGACTATATGGGACTTGTGTTGGGGAAGGAGGCTAGAGCACGAAGCACTGTAATCCTGGCTTTAAGGTTTTTGATTCCTGAAGCCTCCTTGTTAAGGACAGCTTAAGGCAGAAATCTGCCGGACTTTAAGATATGGAATTTAAAGGGATTTTGGCCCAAACAAAAAATACATAACATTGTACCTTAAAAATCTTTCCAATAACATTGACCAAATACAACACAAGAGCAAGAAACCCAAAACACACAACGAAAAAAATTAAAAAAAACAGATGCAACCCACAAACCCGAATGCTCACACGTATGTCAATGGTAGAGATGTCGAAATCCATAGACAGGGAACCTCATAGATGTTGTAACCCGTGGCTGCAGCCCATTTTGTATTTTCGGCAGAGCATGCTTGTCCGATGAAGACGCTACGTGCAAAGTATAAAGTGTAAAGCGTGAAGTGCGAAGTAGGAAGTGTAAAGTGCCGAGAGTAGTGTTTGGAGTGCTGAGTGTAACATATGTTGTACGAAATGTAAAATTTAAAGTCTAGAACGTAGACTGTAGAGTGTAGAGTGTAGTGTCAAGTGTAAAGTGCGAAATGTGGAATGTAAAGTGTAAAGTGGGTTGTGTAAAGTGTAGAGTGTAGAGTGCAGAGTGTAGGGTGTAGAATGTAAAGTGTAAGAGCATGGAGTGTCAAGTGTGATGTGTAGAGTGTAAAGGAGGGAGTGTAGAGCGTCAAGTGTAACGTGTGAAGTGCAAGGTGCAAAGTGTAGAGTCTGGGGTGTAGAGTGTTACGTGTAAATGTCGGGTGCGGGCTGTCAAGTGTATACTACTATACTGTGCAAAGCGTAAAGTGTAGAGTGTGGAATGTAAAGCGTAGAGTGTGGAGGGCAAAGTGTAGAGTCTGGAGTGTCAAATATAAAATGTGGAGTGTCAAGTGTAGAGTGTCCACGCTCCATAGTGTAAAGTGCAGAGTGTGGAGTGTAAAGTGTAGAGTGTAAAGTGTAGAGTGAGGGGTGCACAGTGCAATGTGTGAAGTGTAAAGTGTAGTGTAGAGGGTGGAGCGTGGAGTGTAAAGTGTAAAGTGTAAAGTGTAGAGTGCAGAGTTTGGTGTGTAAAGTGTAGAGTGTGGGGTGCGGAGTGTAAAGTGCGAGGTGTAAAGTTAAACATGTCTAAAGTGTAGAATGTAAAGTGTGGAGTCGGGAGTGGTAAGTATGAAATGTGAAGTGTAGAGAGTAAAGTGTAGAGTGCGGAGTGTAAAGTGCTCAAAACCGCGCATACAACGCAGAATAACATTCCACACACAACACATCTCCACCAAATACTGCCCTTGACATGCAAAACGACGCTCTCACCATGTCCCACACCTGCTAGGAATTTGCGAGTTGTCACCAAGTGACGCAGTCCTGACACTGCGATTCGCAAAAACCACTCAACGCGACATGTCCAAAGTGCTGCGCCTACCTCGCAAAAAGACGATGGAGGTCTCCAAAGTGCTTCCCCTGCCACACAAAATGGAAGTCATCTTCTGAAAACGATGCAAAAGTATTGCGGCTGTCACACAGAACGATTTTCGACACGTGATGAAACATGTCAGAATGTCACGTCGTGTCACGTCGTGCCCGCGGAGGCGGTTGCGGGGTCCCTTGGACGTGTGATTGGTGCCTATACAGGGTGTTCTGCACTGTGCGGTTGTTCCTGTGTGCGTAGGTATAAGGTATTTTGGAGTCTGTGGTTGCAGATCGCGGTGCGATGGTTGCATAATTGTTGTGATGTTTTGTTGCCATGTGCATAGATGCATGCGGATATGCCGTGTGGTGCTACAAAAGGCATTGTAATGGCTGCATGACTGTTACATGGGACTATATGGGACTTGTGTTGGGGAAGGAGGCTAGAGCACGAAGCACTGTAATCCTGGCTTTAAGGTTTTTGATTCCTGAAGCCTCCTTGTTAAGGACAGCTTAAGGCAGAAATCTGCCGGACTTTAAGATATGGAATTTAAAGGGATTTTGGCCCAAACAAAAAATGCATACCAGTAGTACCGCACAAGGCGGTGGCGGAAGTTTCAGAATAGGAAACCTATAGGAGACGTTGGTTGTTGTGAATCACGGATGGCAGAGCGAATCCACTGATTGACCGAAAGGTGGTTGGAGTTGTGTTTGCTGGAGTGGTTGCACTGGTTGCAGTGGTCACCTCACCCACAACTGCTGGATGTAGTGTGATGTACTGCAACTGTAGTTGTAGTTGTAGCGTAATGGAGTTGTAGTTGTGGTTTAATGTAAGTAGTGTAGTGTAGTTGCAGTCATATAGTTGTAGCTGTAGTTGTTTTGTAGTTGTAGTTGTTGTGTAGTTGTAGTTGTAGTTGTTGTAGTTGTAGTTGTAGCTGTAGTTGTTGTGTAGTTGTAGTTGTTGTGTTGTGTAGTTGTGCTTGTAGTTGTAGTTGTAGTAGTAGTAGTTGTTGTTGTTGCTGTTGTTGTTGTTGTAGTTGTTGTTGTAGTTGTTGTAGTTGTAGTTGTAGC